CAAAATGTTCAGGATTGTGAAAGCACGTCAAAAATATTACTGAAACAGAAAAAGAACATTATTCTTAGCACCATTTCAGAAACAGAAGCTAAATAGTGCAGTGTGGGGCTGGTCACCAGCACAGCTCTTCAGAGACCAGGCAGCTCTCCACGCCCAGCTGCATGCTTGTCTCCAACACCACTGTGATAGAGCTTTCCTAAGCCAACCCCATGCTATTTCGAGATTTAAAAGTAAACTTTAATTTGGGCTTCCCTGGTGGCGCAATGGTTGAGAGTCCGCCTGCTGATGCAGGGGACACAGGTTCGTGCCCGGGTCTGGGAAGATCCCACATGCCGCGGAGCGGCTAGGCTCGTGAGCCATGGCCACTGAGCCTGCGTGTCCGGAGCCTGTGCTCCGCAACGGGAGAGGCCACAACAGTGAGAGGCCCGCGTACAGCAAAAAAAAAAAAAAAATTTATCCACTTCATTAGCTAGAACTTAAGGCCATCTACATTTTGCTGCTAATAGGTGTATGTTATACGTAAAAAAACCCACAAAAACCCCCATGTACATAACGCTGAGTGTTCTAATTCACAAAATCTGTTTTAACCTACTTTGGTTTGAGCAGAGGTCTATGATGTGTCAGATGTGTGATTTTTCCAGGACACAAAAAACTCCAGTGAAGGGAAATGTCACAGGATTCTCTGAATTCCTGTACAGTGTTGGGCAGCAGTGTCTAACTAGCTTTGTGAGCGTGGGCAGTTCAAAAGTTCAAGTATACAGCAAGTGCAAAGTGACCACTATTCCTGCCCTGGGGACCTTATATGCAAACAACCAGAAGAGCAGATGCCTGCTACAAAGATAATGCGATACCAGGGTGTTTTAAATGAGGCACAAATCACATCCACTTGGGAGGCAGGGAAAATAGAAAAGACTTTTAAAAAGCTACTATTAAAAGGCAGTTTGATACTAAGATATGATTTAGAGACCAAGAAGGCAGGACAAGCATTCTGAGTAGAAGGAACCACATGACAAAAGCAGAGATACTAACTGGGGGAAGGGTTGAGAAATCACAGGAGAGTTTGGCAAACCCTGGGGCTCTCAACTTTTCCCTCCCTAAGCCCTCCAAAAGAAACAAAACAAAACAAAAAAACCCCAAACAAACCCCACATATAATGGATGATATTAACAATTAACAAACACATTTCCAAAGGCTTACACAGATTCGGCTGGATGCCAGCCCCTTTCCCCCAAATTTGCTGGCAAACAAAGCACTCAACAACCTTAACCGGCAGGCCACAAACTCCTGCTGCTAAGCATGTTCCTCTTGGGTTTAGCACTTACAATTCTCCACCGAAGGGAGGAAGATAAAAGATCACATTTTCACAAACTTATGTATTTGAGTATTAGGAACAACAGCTGGATTAAAGTTAAGTGGGAGCAAGATTCAAGAAGTTAAACTGAGAATCGCAAAAGTCAGGCTGTAGGGTTTGCGCCCAGGCTCTCATCATTCACTTATTACCATACCCAAGTCCCTGCAGCTTGCTGAGCTTGCAAAGTGAAGCAAAAATCAGAGCGAGAAATCACACATCGGTTAATCTCTCCCAGCTAATAGCTGAGTATTGTAAACACCATCTATACTCAACCAAAGATGTAGGAGCTCAAATCATAAGCAAAAACTTCTGATTGACAAATGAAGGTCAGGCAGTTGGAACAGTTTAATAATTGAATAGAGAAATCAACAAGGCAACTTGAAAGAAATTAAGTGGGAGATCAATTTTTGCAAAAAGTAACGATTGTGTTGTTAATAGGCATGTCTAAAATGCTATTCTACATTCTTTCAGAAAAATTACACAGAAAAGCCACTTGATTTATAATGAACGAAGTACCATTAGTTTTGTTATATTTAATAATCTTGGTTAAAATCATAAAGCTTCAAAAATTTTAGTTTTTTTAAAGATAATATTTTGATCAGTCTTCTTTTGTACCATCTATGGTAAAATTTTGATAACCACATCAAATGGATTAACTTTAAAGTGAGCTTTTCTTTGCTGACAATTACCCTCACATAACTTCCTGAAGTTACTTTGTTAATGATGCAAAGCCACTGAAAGCTTTTTTTTTTCTTTTCTTTCCTTGTAGGTGTAGGGGTTGGATGGGCAGGGAGGGACTGACATTTTACTGAAAAATTATACTTGGTGATTTATGATCATTAACCAAGTGATTTACAATCATTAACTTTAGTTCTGGTTGAGCAAGAGTGAACTGATTGTAATTAGCCCTTGGAAAAGTTAACTGGTTACAGCCACAGAGTAACAAGACCAGTAAAGAACCTCTTCGTAATTGCCCAGGAAAGAGATAACATAGGTTTGGATGAGGGTGGACCAGGAGCAAGCAGATTTAATTCATTGCAGATGAGACTTTTTTACTTTTCCTAAAACAGTTTCTGGGGAAGGGGTTTCCGAAGCTAATTCCAAGAAGGAGATGATCTTAAAGAAAACTGGGAGAAAGGGGTGGCGCAGTGTTCAAACTTGGAAACACTGAGTTTGAGATGTCGGTAAGATATCCCAAGTGGAGAAAACCAACAGGCAGTTGGAAACACTAATCTACAATATTAATTATATTATGGATTCAGAGAAGGAAATGTTTTTTCATTATTTAATTTGGAATTGTTCAATTACCCCCCATCACTTTGGTTACAGATATTTTTCGGCCCTCACGAGAAAAAGCAACTATTTCCACTGTTGTAAAGGTTTCATTGAAGAAACTTGATTAATATAAACAGTTGATGGCTAAATGAAGAAAAGGTAAACCTGGTGGCTAATAAATAATGAAAGCGGGGCTTCCATGGTGGCGCAGTGGTTGAGAGTCCGCCTGCCGATGCAGGGGACACGGGTTCATACCCCCGTCTGGGAAGATCCCGCATGCCGCGGAGCGGCTGGGCCCGTGAGCCATGGCCGCTGAGCCTTGTGTGTCCGGAGCCTGTGCTCCGCAGCGGGAGAGGCCACAGCAGTGAGAGGCCCGCGGACCGCAAAAAAAAAAAAGAAACCGAATTTAGCTGTACCCATTCAAAATACTGGAGTGTCTGTTTGTAATATCAATTTATTCGATGCTGGTTAAATGTGTAACAAGTTACTTAAAATCAGCTGTAATACTAAAATGTCAGCACTTCTAACGTATATAGCCTGAATAAAAGACATCTGCATCAAATCCCTTCCCTGTAGTGTCTATATTTAAGTTTACAGACTTAGCTGCTTCTTTACAAATAACTGCAATTCTCACCTCAACCTCTACACGCAAGTTTCCTGGGCTTCCTCCCAGACTGACTACGTTCCCAATTTCTACTTTCTCCTATACATCTATTAATTCCTATCTTCAACAGAAAGTACCTTACCCAAATTAACCCCATCAGTGCTAACATTGCCTTCAGCTGCAACTTGTTTATTTCTAGGTCACATCAAAAACAAATATTTGAGTGACCACTCCATCCGGTATCAAGTCTCTCTTAGATCTGGCAGCCTGGCACCATTCTCCCAGCATCTATGGAATATTGCTTCTTTCCCCCATCAAAACAGAAAGGATTGCGTAATCGTGGATCTCAGAAGTGCTAACGACCCACTACCGCCGCCCCTGCCCCAACATACTCTGCCACGGCAAACTCCATTTACCTCCGCTTTGAAAATGTATGTTTAAAAGCTCTGCTCCCAATTAAACCACTTAGGAACACTTTTTGAGCAAAACAAAACAGGAAACAACGCATATTCCCGGTGTGGGGTGGGGGGGCGGGATTCTAATGCCTGATGGGCAGAGAATCCTGTAATTATATGAATGAATACCTTTCTAAAGAGGCTTGTAATCGGTGGGGTTCTCACCTCTTTCTAATTTAAAACGACTTAAGATGAGCCAGTAAGAATGTGCAATTTTAAGGAGCTATCCGAAATGTGCGCCCTTAGGCAAAGGTGCCTGGGACAAGACCAAGGCGCATAACTGTACGAAGCAAGGCTAGGTTTAAAAGGCGTTTCTCAGCACCTAATCATTTCTCTTTTCATTCATTTAAAGAAATAAATAAAAGTGAACATTTTCGTTACTCTACTTTCTGACCGCCATCTGATACGCCCTTACGAAAGAAGTAGGGAAAACAGACGATAGGGTGATAGGGGACGGACGATGAAGAGGGAAAAAGAATGGTATAACAAATTCGACTAGCATTCCTTACAGTCTTGTAAATCCAGCATGGCATGGGTACGGACACGATCTGGCTGTGTTTTTGCAAGCTGCTACTTTTGAGAGGCTAGAATAAATGAACTTGACGCTCAAAGGCGACACCTCTCCTTTCCTCTGTTCTCCCAAATCTACCTCCTCTACCACCTCCAAAGTCCAACTCCCCAGGACCGCACAGACGGGCTCGTTCCCTCTCTCTCACAACCCTCCCCCACCAGAGAAGCGGGGCCATGCCTCCCTTTGCAGATGCCTCCACCACTGCACTCACGCTAACATTTCACTCTGATGTTTCCTACTTTCTGTACCCCGAGTAGCCCAGCTCTTCCACCCCGGTTCCTGGTTTGCCTCTGAACCTGCCCTCCTTTCCGCGCCTCGCGAGACGCGAGCTGGGTTCGCAGCCGGGGAGACGCGCTCCTTTGCCGGCATGCTCCAGGTGTGCTCCCTCCCTCCCCCGCCAAAGAGACCCTGCACTTGATTGGCCCGCGCCGAGTTACCTACTCCCAGGCGTGGGGCGAAGGGATGGGTACTCCGTTAGGAAGGGGGAGGAAAGGAGAAAGCACGGATCCAAGGTAGCGGTCTCAGGAGATGCTGGGCTACTGCGGGAGCCGCAGGCGCGCCTCGCGGTGATGAGAGAGGGTGAGCGCTCGCCCCCTCGCGGTACCCGTAGCACCCCCGCTCGTGACCTAGCTGCAGAAGATTACCTTCCGGGGCAGTGTGCGGCTAGGCGAGAAGAGAAGCCCTGCATTTACAATCCTCGTCTCAACAGTTCCGGAATTCCTCTCCCGTGGACGGAACTCTGTGTGTGTGCGTGTGCGTGTGCGTGACTGTACACTAAAAAAGCACGCCCCAAGATTCTTTCTCTCCGCTCCTTCTTCGCTCCTTCCTCCTTGCTTAATAGACCGGAAGTGTCCTCTCACCAAACCAGCTCGGCGGGCACTTCCGGGACAGGAGACCAGGGTTCCGGGAGGGTGCTGGGAGGAGAGGGAGAGCGGCGGCGGCGGCGGCGGCGGCGGCGGCGGCGGCGGCGGCGGCGGCGGCTGGAGGATGAAGAAGGAGCATGTGCTGCACTGTCAGTTCTCCGCGTGGTATCCACTGTTCAGAAGCCTCACCATCAAGAGGTGAGACGAGAGGGGTTATGCCGAGGCAATGGGCAAAAGGGGATTGCGACATTTGGGGCGACTCCCAGCTCCATAAAAAAACTGCAGGCCTGGATGGGAGGGCCAGGGCCGAGATTTCGACTTCCTGGTGGTATTTCGGGTGGGGAGATGAATGAAGTCGATCCATGTTTGCTGTGCCCCCTGTTGTGCATCAAGGAGGGTGCTGGGGAGGTAGAAGGGCGGTGTCGTGGCTCAGTGAAGGTCAGAGGCGATCTGAGGAGCAGGTGAAGGTAGTTTAGGCTTGGGAGTTCACCTTAACTGCCTTTAGAATTGCCAGCGGGGGGAGGTGATCAGCAGAAATGGGTAGTCTGGGCTTTGCCACTGACTAACCCGCTGGGGGACTTGATAGTTTTTGGTTACTATCAAATGAGAACAATGATACAGATCCAACCTCAAATTCCATTGTGAAGCTCCAACATGATAGTGTAGATGGAAAGCATTAGTAAAGTATACTTATGTGTTGTTAGGGACGGAAGTCGTCTGAAAGAGAAGTGGAACAGGATTTGTTTTCTAGTTCTTTGGCCCACAACAAGGAATCTATGACCAGTTTGCAGGGCAAGCAAAGGGTTAACTGTTTCATCCTTCACCCTGTCATTCGAGGTAATGTAGGCAAGGCAGCTCGGAGAATATCCCCAAATGTTCAAAAGCAGTCGTGACATCTGGAGCGTGATGCAAGGGTAGGCTTTCCCCCACTAAGGCGGATAGATCAAAGAGCTGCGTATCCATGGGTAGGATTTTCTGTCTTTTGGCGCTCCCCCTTTAGGCCTAGATTGCCACTTTTTTAGATATGCATCTTCCCTTTTCATTCCTGGTGCAGAGAGTGTGAATACAGAGAGGGAAACTTGAGATCCTGAGTGTTTGGACAAGCCCAAGGAGATTATTCAAAAGACAGTTCTTTCTATCCTGTTATTCATACATAGAATCAGCTCCCAGTTATCCAGGGTGTAATGGAGGTTAGAGCATCTCGCAGGAGCTTTGCATTTGAAGATTGTTGAAGTCACACCAAAACAGAAGGAAGAGCTTCAACAGCAGCAGTGGACTTTATCTTCTTATATGATGTGCCAGTCCTTCATTATCTTGCATAATCGAAAGAGGCTTAGGGTCTGAGATGATGCTAGAATTATTTATTTTGTATTGGTGTGATAGAAGGTGTATTTGTGAGCCTGTCAGACATTTTCACACGGAGTTCACTCGAAACTGCCATGTGCTTGTGTGCAGGCACCTTTGTCACCTCTGGCGGAGTTTTTCTTTGCCTTCAGCAGTAAAGGATAATGGTTAAGAATTGGACTCCAGAGTCAGCGCCATCTGTCTGGCGTGGAATTTTGGTTCCACCAGCATCTTGTGCAAATCTCTTAATCTCTCTAAGCCCCATCTGGAAAATTGAGAAAATAGTAGGATTGTCATGAGAATTAAATGAGATAAAGCATTAAAAATGCTTGCCACTGTTTCTGGCATATAGCACAAAAAGCTGCTCATTGTTAATGTTTTTGATTCAATCAAAGCTCCATTGAAGCAAAATAATTTTAGTTCAATTAAAATGTTTACTATTCATGTGAAGCTGGGAGTGAAAAATAAACCAAGGGGTGGGATTTTTTTTTTTTTTTTTTTACCAATCCACAACTAAGCTGTGTTGCCTGAAGTATTCTTTCCTCTGTCTTTGAACTGTAACTCTAGTTAGTTCTGTGGTGTCATCACTGGAACCCAACATATGGCAGTATGTCCCTCCACGACCCAGGTCATTCTGGTGGAGTTGTGTTAAGTTTTTCATTGTCATTGTCAGCTTTAATGCTGAGAAACCATATGCTGGTTATTGACTCAGCCTTATTATTTGGTGTTTATTAATCAAGGTTCAGAGATGATTATGGAGGAAAGAATATAGAATCATTATTTGACATGTTCTAGAACTTTGACTCAGGCTTAAGAATAAGTAGCTAGATGACTTTGGGCCATCCACTCTCCTTTCTAAATGTTTCTTTCTTCAAATATGAAAGTTATAAATAATCTTTTAAAGGCCCCTTCAACCTCCATTCCATCAGATCAGCTTGTCTTTGTGTATAGAATTATATCAACTTAATGGGATAGGTACTTTGTCATTAAATCTTTTACATCTTTCGTTCGGGCCTCATGGAGTCTTGCCTGCATCGTGGATTTCAGTGACTGATTTAAGCTCTTTTCCGACAGCCTCAGTAGCTTTGGGTCAAGTACGCCTGGCCATGACTTGTTTATGGCCTCAGTCTCTCAGGCATGGTTCCCTTTTCTTCAGAATTTTGGTGGCCTTTGGTACATCTGCACTTGGTACAGCACTTATCATATTGTATTGTGATTTTTCTTTTTCTTTTGTATCTTTTCCCACTCCTAGGCATTCAGTTCTTAATGGAGTCATCTAGGATTCCTCCGTGACTTAGGTAACATAATGCAAGGTCACGTCATTAGGGCGACTTTAGAACTGTGACAGCAGGACTCAGGGACTCATGAGAACGATGCAGAATCTAACTCGGTGAGGCTCATACATGTAAGAGTTGTAGACCCTCCAAATAGGAAAAATGTGCAGAGAATTCACGATGGAATCAAACAGTAAATAGATGTTTCAAATCCAGTCAAGGGATGATGCAACCTGGAGGGAAAGTCAGGATTCACATCAGACTTGAGAATTAGTGTAACTCAGAAACAAGGGACGTGGACTTGGAAATCATCGACTTGGGGACTCAGAGATGTTACTGACATAGAAGAGGGCTCTCTCTGCTCTTATTGTGGTCAGGAAAATCACCCTAATGTCTAGGAACCAGCATCCCTGCCAATATTTCTCAGTCTCAGGCCCATGAGAAGGTAAACTTCAAATTCTCTTAGGAAGGTCATGTCTATTTCTCTTGGGCTGACATTGTTGGGTAAGTAGCTTTAACCCCGGGAAGATCTAGAATTATATATAGAGGTGATGAAATAATTCAAACTTGAGGGGTTTTTTCTCTTGTTAAGTTTATTTAATATCCGTAAGAATTTGCCTTTTTGAGAACAATTGGCATATGTATAACAGGTTAGCCTTGTGTTTCCAATTTAAATTGTGTAATTGGTTTAGAATTGTGATACGTTAAAAGATATAAGAAAAATTTTTAAGTTTTTCAATTTCAGTTGGAATGTTTGCAAGAACCTTAGATTCACTGTGCTTACAGTTTAATTCACTGGTTTTGTAAGAGTTAAATACTTGGAAAGGCTTACCTGTAATTAGACAATTGACATATTTAAAAAGAAAGTTGAATAGATATTTTTACAAGAGTTAAAAAATTTAAAGCAACTTTTAAGTTTCAAAGACTCACTTGCAATTTCATTAAAATTTAGCAGATTTACAAATAGAAGAATAAGATTTGGTAGTTGAACTTAAAAGCCTGAAGAAGAAGTAAGCTTTTGAATGTGAAATTGTAGTTTTGATAAATCACATATTAATTTCTAAAACTGAGGTAGCTCCTGAATAATCTTTCCTGTGCACAAAATCCATCTGTGATGTGCCAGAAAACTTATTCAATAAATAAATGACGCATACTGTCATAAGTCAATGATGGTCTCTCTGAAAGCAGGCCATAATCGTTTTCAGTTTTTAAAAAATACATGCCTCAAGATCAAAGTAATAGCATTTTAGGTATCTGTGGCAGGATTTTTGATGATTATTACAGAATAAAAAACCAAATTATCCCATACGTTTTTTCAAGTGATATCAAGTGTGGCTTTGCCATCCCTTTTTTTTTTCCCAAAAGAAAAAAACGTATTTAATAAACAGTAACACAAGTGAATGTTTATAACATGATCAGTGATTATTAAATAGACAACAAGATGATGGTAAATGAGGCTTGTATATCAAATGTAAAGAGTAAAGGTTATTTAGGCATTTGATGCCTTCCCATATGCAACTTTCTAGTTTTCTCACATAGGCTTTGCTATTCCTTAATTATGATTGCCTGAAACCAATTCAACTGAAGCATGCCCAGGTAAGCAGCTGTGTACTCTGGTGATCAGGTGAATAGAATGCACATCCAAACATACCGTGAATTCTTAGCCTTACACACTCATTGCCAACCAAAGAATGGTTTCCACATCTTAAGCCTGCTTCCTCCCCATATCTTAGAAGGTGGTCAGATGCTGTTCATCTTCTGATTTGTTTGCTCAAATACCTGAAGGGCTCTAATTTCTTAAAGGCACATAACCCTTGTACTCAGAATTCTTCTGAGCTTGTTGCTTTCATACTGTGATTTCAGTCCAGTTCTTTGGATTTGCCTGGTTTTTTGTCTCTTTATCACCGAGACAATGGGGGTAATTATATGCATCTAGTTTACCACAGTATTTATTCATATTATCCTAATTTCCAGTCTGCTGCTGCCAAATGTCCATCATTAACATTTCCCACTTCATATTAAAATAAAGGGAACAAGTAAATCAGAAATTGAGTTTTGAACTTTTTTTCTCTGCTTATGGTTGGTCTTTTAAATTGATGCCCTTTATTTGGTATGTGCATTTTGTTTTTTGTTTTTTTTTTTAGTGTCATTCTTCCACTTCCTCAGAATGTGAAGGATTATTTACTTGATGACGGAACTCTGGTGGTGTCAGGAAGGTAAGGCATATCAGAAAAAAGTTCTTTAAATTTTAGCATAAAGAAATTTGTAATGATTAAATCTCAGTGATTACCATGTAAAATAAGTACATTAGCTTTGGCCCCATTCTCTCCCTTTTTTCCCTAGTTAAAATTATGTGCTGATCTTTGTTCTGTATTCCTTGTCAATGCTCAGTTGATAAGATTTTCAAAATTGAGTACTTCCTCTAGTAATAATTACAAGTTGTGAAATTGAGTAATTCCTTTCATCTCTACTTTTAGAAAATGTGTATGATAACTGTTCCTTTTGTTCAAGTTCCTCTGTTTATAAAGGAAAGTACCATGCTTCAGTGTTTTTAGTGCAAACTGGAAAAAGTTTAAGAATCATATACTTTAATGTCATTCCTATTTTTTCATTCAGGTCTCTGCTCAGAAGTCATGTTATCTAAGTGTTCATCCTTCTCTTTCCTTTCTGAAGTAGCTTAATGGTAACCCTTACTGATAACGTCAGTCGGTTTTTTTTATAGAATTCTAGGTTGGAAATAATTTTCCCTTAGAATTATTAAAAAATATATTTTTTATTGAGATAAAATACACATAACATAACATTTACTATATTAACTATTTTTAAGTGTACAGTTTAGTGGTATTAAGTACAGTTATAATGTTGTGCAACCATCACCACCATTCATCTGCAGAACTCTTGCCATCTTGTAAAACTGAAACTCTGTACCAATTACACACTGACTCCTCATCGCTCCCGTCCACCAGCCCCTGGCAACCATCATTCTGTTTCCTGTGCCTGTGAATTTGACTTCTCTAAATACTTCATACAAGAGGAATCACACAGTACCTGTCCTCCTGCGGCTGGCTTATTTCACTCAGCATAATGTCCTAAGGTTCATCCATGTTACAGTATGTGTGAGAATTACCTTCCTTTTCAAGGCTAAATACTGCTCCGTTGTATGGATTACCACATTTTGGTGCATCACTTTTTATCTCCTAACCTCACTTTATTTTTCAGTATAATACTTATTTCCATCTGACATCATTCCCTTAGTGGTTCTATTAGAATACAGTCTTCATGAGAACAGGGACTTGGACAGTTGTGTTCCCAGCTCTCGGAACAGTGCCTGATATACAAGAGGTGCTTGATGAACGTTTCTTCAGTAAATGAACTCAGAAATATAATTAGAATTGTGTATGTTTTCAGTAACACTAATTTTACCATAAATATGTATGTGTGTGTGTGTATGTATATGTATATACGTGTGTGTGTGTGTATATATATATATGCACACACACACATATACATATGTATATTTTTTTTGGTCTGATGGATCTTCTGTGTAGCTTTCTAGATTATAGTTCTATTTTTGGTATTCTCAACCCCTTAATAACCTGAAAATTATTAATTTAGAGCCTCATTGACTTGGAATAATTGCAGGATAAGGAAACAGAATAGGTAGGTGAGTCTCAACCTTGGGATATTTACAGATGTAACTTTATTATTTTTAAATATAGAACACTTAATAAGCTTACATAAATGGGAGTGTAAAGAAAATGCCTCCCGATGTTAGAAAGTCCTGGGTAGATTTCAGTACTCTGAGCTTGTGGAAGAGCTCCTGTGATGTTTTTTGTTGGCCAGATGTGTGCATGAGCCTCTGGCAGAGGCAGGCCTGTTAAACACTGTTAAGCAGTGTGATACAGCTCACAGCACTTCACTCTGCTCTTCAGTAACGCACAAATCAGGTAGGGACCCTGCCTTTTTGGAGTTGACAGTTCAGCTTTGTATTTTATGGGAGTCAAATAGCACAGTGCTGGTCGGTCAGTCACATTGCCTAGGGCTAAATCCTATCTTTGCTCATTTCTAGCTCTCTGTGCCTCATTTCCTCTTCTGTAAATAGGGTTGTTGCAGGGATAAAAGGAGATAATGCATAAAATGTTTAGCCATAAATATTTAATGTTTATAAATATAATAATGCCTAGTACATTGTATGCTCTTAAGAAATACTAACTTCTCACCATTATCATTAATCTCAGTCCGAACATTAAACAAACACACCAGTAAATATATAAGTGAAAATTGTGGTAAGGGCTGTGAAGGAAATGGGGTGGTCACTGACATATTAAATTACTGGGAGTGGGCTGGGGCTGAGGATTTCAGGGAGGGTCAGGGAATACCCCAAAGAGGTAACTTACGAGCCTCTCAGGAAGTTTGGGTGGAAAGCAGTCAGTTGAAGGGCAGAGGGAAGAATCTTCAAGGCTGAGGGAGCAGCATTAAGGAGGGCTCTGAGGCATGGAAGATCTTGACGTGCTTGGTTTGGTTATCATTGCCTGCAGTTGGTGTAGGAAAGGAGGCTGGTAACACGCATTTCTGGTGTAGACAGTGATTCGTTTTCACTGCACATTATTGGGTGCCTACTATGAGTTGGGTGCTGAGCATGCTACTTGGATAACAAGATGGGTGTCTGGTGTACTGAGCAAATAAACTTTCCATTTAAAACAAACAAACAAAAAAAGATGGGTGGGACATCCTGCCTTGGGAGTCCAGGCTTAGTTAGTCGCCAAGTCAAAGATGTAAATAAATAGGTGCCCGTTTTTGGAATAAAAGCACTCAGTGTTCTGTTAAGCCATGTTTTTGGAGTTGAAATAATCACTGTAAGCTGGGGTGATGCAGGGAGTTTGTACAGAAGAGGTGGTGCCTGACCTGGGCTCACAAGTTGGGTCCAATTCAGGTGGTTTGACTCAGTGCTCCCAAGTAGGTGCCAATCCTCACTGTCCCCTTTTGGCCCCGGGAGTTCTTTCTTTCCTGATCGTCTCCCTTAAGGAGAATGACAATAGATGCCAATTATAAAAGACATGTTCGATTCGTTCATGGTTTGAATCTTCACAACTCTGCAGAGTAGCTACTGTCATCCTGGTTTTATAGATGGGATTCTGGTGCCACGCTCGTGACTAACAGAGGCAGAACTGACATATTCTGACAATGTCTGTCTGCCTCCAAAGCCAGTGCTCTCACGTTTCCCACGACTTTTAGGTACCAGCTCAGTGCTAGCTGTGATATAGAAAACAGAGAATACTTCTAAATATTAACATCAACTCAGTCCTCAGTATTTAGAGGTTTACCTTGGAAAGCAAGTCTGGTGAACTTGCCAGTGTATACACTCCATCATCTTTTCCATTTCAGTGACACATCTCATGGTAGGAATTGCAATAAGTTTTTCTGAAGAACTGTATGAATACACCGATTACAAATTTGTTTTTTTTAAATGTATTGTATTATACTAACAAAAATCAAAAATGGTGTTTTAGAGTGATAAATGCATTTTCAAGTTCATTGAGTACCTTTTGTGCTGTTATTTCATGATAGTCATCTGTATTGCCTAAAGTTAGTGACTTAAAACGTGACCATTTTGTGTGTCAATGTTTGCTCAGCTGGGTGTTGAGAGACACTTCTCCTTGGGTCTCTGCATGTCTTCTGAGCAGAGGCACTGACAGCTTTTGTTCCTGATTGTCTTTTCAAAGAAGTTTATGCAGCAGATGGCCTTGGAAGATAGAGATAGTGTCTCTCCCTAGCAGAGAGCAGGCTTGTTACTGTCTAGTACAGATAAAGACAGTGTCACCCCTTGGGTCAAAGACTGGCCAGGTTTACCTGCAGCTCATTATAAAAGATGAGATTCTCTAAGTTCAGGGTTCCGCAATTGTAACACAAGCCTGGGTCACTCCTTGACCTCCCACGGGGCGTGAGGGACCAGAGGGAACTGATTCGAAGATGGAGCGCATGCTTTGTACTGTGAATGAGAGTCCTTTGCTTCTGACCCAGGAGTCCCCTGTCTTCTGCCAGAGTCCATGAACTCTGGCAGGCTAACTTGTTAGCTTGCAATTGGGGTAAAATCTCAGAGCCTCTGTAATGCTCGACACTGGGCAAGTCTTCCGTTGGTCTTGCTGAGGTCCCTCTTGCGACTGTAGTTGTCTGGTGGCTCGACCTAACTGGATGGTTTTAAGATGCCTCACTCATGTCTGGCAGCGGATGCTGACTGTCACCTGGGCTTCTCTTTCCGTGTGATTTCTCAGCCTCAGACTCAGCTCCTTTACGTGGTGGTGGCAACATTCCAAAAACGGGGGCACGGAAGCTGTAAAGACTTGACACCTAGGTTCAGCATCACATGGTGTCCCTTGTGCTACATTTTGTTGGTCACAATGAGTCTTGAAGCCAGTTTGAATTAAAGGGGTGGGAAAACAGATGCCATTTCTTGATGGGAAGAGTGGCAAAGTCACCCTGCAAAGGGGCATGTCAAGATGGGAAGAATTGTTGTGGCCATCTTTGTAAATACATCATCAGACTTTCTTGTTTTTGTTTTTCCCATTCATTGTGATGTGTACTTGGTGGGCTCTTTCGTTCTAGAACAGTTAAAAATATTATGTCTTTGATAATTTCCTCTTATTTTCTTGCTTCTCTTTCTGGAACTCCTATTATTTAGAGGCTGGGTCTACTGGATTAATTCTCTGAATTTTATCATTTCTTCCCTATTGTCTGTTTGTCTTATTAGTTTTACTTTCTGGAAAATTTCCTTGATTTTGCCATTCATTCTGTTGAATTTTTAAATTTCGGCTACCACGTTTTCAGTTTCTACAAGTTCAACCTTGTCCTCTGGCCTCCTCTCATGAATGCAGTATCTTTTATCTTTGAGGATATTTATGATTTAAAAAATTATTTTTCATCTGGTTCCTGTATTGTCTTTATTTAATCCATGTACCTTTTCTCTCTCTTTTGAAACTCTTTTCTCATCTTGGAGCCTTTCTTTAGTTTTCTCATGATTCTAGGCCTTTATTCATATTTAAGAGTGAGGAATGGGGACACACACACACACACACACACACACACACACACACACACACACGCAGAAACTTTGTGTACCCAGGTGGGGCTTGTTGACTAAGAGTGCCAGCAGTCAGCAGGTATTGATGGAAGATTCCCAGATGACAGTTATTTGTGAGTCTTTCCCCTGGAGTTTTCCAGTGTCTACAGAGATGAATCCTCTAATCTGTCTGTATTGGGGGAGCAGGGAGGGAGGAAGGGGACTAGAGGTCTCATTGTTAACACGACTTCCACTTATGACTTCGTCGTATTCTACCATTTCACCCCCATTTTCCTCTAGGGCGTTAAGGACCGGATCCCTTACCCTGGAGGTTGAGTTGCTGGGGTGTGCCAGCTGAGGACAGCTCGGCGTGCCTCCCTGCCCCCTTCACGGACTTCACTCAGGTCACCCCTTTTGAAGCCGGAGCTGTGGTCCCATCGTGTGTGATGGCTCCAGGGTCTGCCTGTTGCCAACTGGGTCCCCCCGCCACTGGCTTTTTGTTTTCCAGACTTTTGTTGTCTCTTCTCTGCAGTTGTCTCCTCTCTGGTGCTTTTTCCCTTGGGATCTCTTAAATCATTTTAGTAGCATTTCAAGAGGGAGCATAGGGATGGATAAATGCCAATGGTCAACCAGAAACCTCCCTTTTCCTTTTTTCTTGTAGTTTCCTGGTATAGATTCTCTGCCAGTTCTTATTCTGATTAGTATTTGCTTTCCGTGATGTGAGTGAGTTCTTCATAGGCCAGTTGTTTGTCGTAGAGTGTTGAGGAGGGGCCTGGGCTGTCTGCGGTCTTTCAGCCCTTGCTTCGCCCCAGGCTGTAAGGATTGGCTGTTAATGGCCCTTTTCAACAACCACTTTGCCCACTGGCTCCTTCTAAGACAGCGTGTCTGAGTATTTCTTTCTCTTCCTCCCCCATGCCCTCCAGTGGTGCCAGTTCAGATCCAGGGTAATTCCTGCCACTGGCCCACACGCTCTGTTTTCGCTATGTAAACAAAAGATTTTTGGATGTGTCCGCAGGGTGTCCAGCAGTTGCCCGGAACAGCTCCTCCAGCAATTCCGTCTGTGGCTTCCTTCATCCCGTCTGATCTTCCTTGTCTTGGGCAGCACTTTCTCTTATATCGGGATTGAGACTGGATTCTTAGTGTCCTCACAGGTGGAGTTTGAGTTTTTCTTTTCCTTGTTTCTAGTGATTTCTGAGAAGAGGGCAGGAAGTTTTTATTCCGCCGTCTCTTACTGGACGTGTACTCTTGTTAATTTCATGTTGGTTTTTATTAGTTTCATCTCAAAAAGTGAACTTCCTAACATCATCCTCCAATCCTAAGGCTTTTTTAAAATATATATATACTCAGCACACCTGCAATTATGAGTACACAGCACCAAAGCTTTCTCTTGCTCAATTTTCATTTTATGTTCTTCCAGGGAAGATCCACCAACATGTTCTCAGCCAGACAGTGATAATGAAGCAGAAGAAATACAGGTTGGTTCAAAATAATATAAACTGTTCCGTAACGTGTTCTAATCGAAATGTTCTCTGAAATGGTTCTGGCTTTGAGATCTTAGCATAGATTCAATCAAGTGAGAAATTACGTGAAAATTTCCCTTGGACACATACTTAGTGTTCAGGAAAAGCTGTCTCCTGTGTATGGGTGATTTTTACATGGGGCACTGCTTTTTGGAAGCCCAGTACACTATCCACATTTAACGTTCTGTTTCTGTCCTCCTCTCCATGCAGTGGTCAGATGATGAGAACACAGCCACGCTTACGGTAAGAGCCTTGAGGTGTGGGGACCACCTCGTGCTGTCCCCCTGGGGTGCTTCCGGGTTTCGACACAGATCACTCTAAATCCCCATTTACTCACCTTTTCAAGCTTTTATTTATTATTTTCAAAAATAACTTAAATCACTGTTTACAGGCAAACATGGTGAGCCCTTTTTTCCCTTTTATTTTTATTTTCATTAAAAAAAAATACACCTTTAAAAAATAATAAAAATAAAAAATACACCTTTTTTAAATTTTTTGGCCATGCCATATGGCATGTGGGATCTTGGTTCCCCGACCAGGGATCGAACCCATGCCCCCTGCATTGGAAGGACAGAGTCTTAACCACCGGATGGCGAGGGAAGCCCCTCCGTTTGATTTTTTTATTTTTAATTTTTAAAATTTATTTAATTTATTTATATTTGGCTGCGTTGGGTCTTCGTTGCTGCACACGGGCTTTCTCTAGTTGTGGCGAGTGGGGGCTGCTCTTTGTTGCGGTGCGCAGGCTTCTCATTGCGGTGGCTTCTCTTGTTGTGGAGCACGGGCTCTAGGCACCGGGCTCAGTAGTTGTGGCACGTGGGCTCAGTAGTTGTGGCTCGTGGGCTCTAGAGAGCAGGCTCAGTAGCTGTGGCGCATGGGCTTAGTTGCTCCGCGGCATGTGGGATCTTCCCGGATCAGGGCTTGAACCCCTGTCCCCTGCATTGGCAGGTGGATTCTTAACCACTGCGCCACCAGGGAAGTCCCTGTAGAAGTTGATTGAGCATGTTTTAGTCTTTCAGGCTTAAGAGTGTTGTCAAATTCAACTTAAAATATGTTTTAACAAAAATCTTTTTAAAGGAATGAGAGTGTTTCTAAAAATATGGGAGGCAAATGAAGCTTCTCATACTTTGAGATAAAAGCGAAAGATTTATGTAAAATTGCTTACAAATAAATGTAAAGGCACAATAAAGGAAACTAGTTTTAGAGGAGGGTATATTCTAATGCAATTCTAAATAGGAGATATTTCTGTTTATTTTGATGGAAGAGATATGATGTCCAGGGTACAAGGGAAAAAAAGTGCAGGTGCCTAAACATTTCCTTAGGTATAAAAAGTGTGCCCACACATTCAGAAAAGGCAAGTTTACATGTTTTATTTTACTCTGGATATCACTCAGGTCAGTTCCTCTCCTTTTATGAAAATTCTGTTCAGTTCAGCATACATCTTAGCTTTTGCCCATATTCAGCGCCCTCTAATGGGTTCTATGAAGTAAATAAAGATGACTATGATTTGATTCCTGACGTTAGGGAGTATATAAACCAGTGAGGAAAGACGCTCCAATTTGGGGGTGATGACAAAGTGCTGTCAAACAGAGAGGACAGGGCTTCCCTGGTGGCGCAGTGTTTGAGAGTCCTCCTGCCGATGCAGGGGCTGCGGATTCATGCCCCGGTCCGGGAGGATCCCACATGCCACAGAGCGGCTGGGCCCGTGGGCCATGGCTGCTGAGCCTGCACGTCCGGAGCCTGTGCTCCACAGCGGGAGAGGCCACAGCAGTGAGAGGCCCACATACTGCAAAAAAAAAAAAAAGAGAGAGGACGGTTACCACCAAGGGCATCTAGAAATAATTCAAGGGAGAAGTGATATTTGGCCTGGATGCTAAGTGTAAGGATGATCAGTATCAACTCATGTTTTTTAAATATAGATAGATAGATACAGATATTAATCATGTATGTGTGTGTATTTACCAAACTCTGCTTAGCTCTAAAAGTGACATAATGACATCATGGTGGCAGTGAGCACACCTAGTGCCCTGATCTTGGTGTCTAAATAGCATTCTCCACTAAAAGGAGTTGAAGCTCCTTGGAGAAATTAAAGAATGGGGGTGGCATGGTAAAGATGAGCCTGCAACAACTTGTGTCAGAAAGTAAGAATGATGGGTCATGACACAGAGGACCCAGAAGTTAGCCCGAATGGGCTCCCACTGGCCACATACGTGAACATCATAACAAAACAATAATAGTAATGGAGTATAACCATTGACTGAAATTAGAATCCATGGTCCCATACTGACATAAACAAATGATTAAATTAAATAAATGGAGCAGAAGAGAAAGCCCTTCTTTCTAGTAGAAAAGACACCAACTAATAATTGTAGAAGGAATGATAGAATTGGAAATCACCATTAGCAACCATTATAGTAATAATTGATGGAATAAATGTTAAAACTCATGGGTGAATATTTGATGAGGATACTTGAGTAATCTCAAAGTTATGTCCACCAAAATTACTTACTAGTTGTAAAGAGAAAAATAGTACCTTCACAGTGGAAAGAGCTGGCACCAGTGTGACCAAAGTTAACCTTCTCAGTGATGGGACAGACCTACATCGCCTGTCTCCTTGTACAAGGCACAGAAGGACACATCACCCACCAACAATGCACAACCTGAATCCAGTCATGAGGAAACAGCCAGCAAACTCAACGTTTTAGAAATTACATAGAGTCGCTGCCCTGTACTTTCCAAAACGTCAGGGTCATGAAAGATAAAGAGCAACAGAGAGAGGAAATGTTACAGATGAAAGGAGATTAAGGAGACACGACAAGGAAATGCAGTGCTCGATTCTAGACTGGGTCCTGAGCCAGAGGAAAATGTTCCATTTTTCTTTTGCTATAAAAGACGTTATCAGGACAATGGGCACATGTTGAATAAGATCCACAGATGAGATAATGGTATTGTATCCACGGTACCTCCCTGATTTTGATAATTTGGCCGGGTTATGTAAGAAAAAGTTACTGCTTTATACACACACACACCACACACACACATCCCCCCCCCGACACACCCCACATTCCCCCCACACGCACACCCACCCCTACCCCTGCCTACTTATATGTAGAAAGGGAGTTGAGGGGGAGAATGATAAAGCAATGTGGTAAAGTGCCTGAGTGAAGAGTGTGTGGAAATTCTTGTTACTCTTCTTTTAATGCTTCTGAAAGTCTCAAATTATTTCAAAATAGAAAATTAAAAAGTGATTGGGTTTCACTGGGGAGAGCTAGATGTTGGGCAGGGGAGCTTTCAGGGCAGAAGAGCACTCTCAGAAGAGGAATGTGAGCCAGGACCCAAGGAGGGAAAATTACCCCTGCAAGTAATTAGTAGTTAGTGTAGTGACAGAAGTGCCAAATTAAAAATGGAACCAAGTAGTCAAGATGGGTAAATTCCAAAGGCACGATGGTGAATTTCACAGAGCAAGTTGCCAAAAGTATACATATCAAGTGACAACAGTTACTTTAAATTTTTTAAATGTTCTGTTTTATGGACAGGCACACGTAGTATAACATCAGGACAGTAGAAGAATATGCCCACTCTTGTGATGATGGTTGCCTGTGGGGAGAGGGAAGCATTAGGGAGAAGAGCAAGGAGATCAGGAGCTTCGTTAGTATCTGTGATGTGTTTTCCTTAAGAAACTTAAAGGTCTGGATCAGACATGTCAAACTGTTGAATGTATGGATCCAGGTATATATTTCTTTCTGGTGGGTGTGATACAGGGGGGCTGTGGTGGCTAAAGTTGGAAAGATAGGTGAGTTTGGATCATAGAAAGTCCATGGATATGATTTAAAATGTGGATTTTATCTGACTTAAAACAGGAACCTTTTCTCAAGACAACCGAGGTGTTCCGCGAATTTAAAATCTACTTGAACTGTGAGCTTAAAAGAACCCTATTGCTAGTTAAATCTGTTAAAAGATAATTTTCAGGAAAAGGTAGAATAATGACTTAACACACGTTGAAGGCTGTATTTAACTCATGAGGGAACCAGGCAGATGTTCTAACTGTCTCAAAAGAGAACCCAAAGGACAGACACGTTTATAGATTAGGAGTATTGAGATGAATATGTGGGAGGCAAGATAGCTGATTTCCACCAGACAGGATAGAATTTTCACGTCTGTAAGAACTACTTCTCATTGTTTTCACTTACCTATAATTCACCAAGTTGTAAACTAGCTCGCAGACCCAGCTAGAATCAGGTAACCCGGAAAGTGCTGTATGTATAGAATACGTAGTCTTTCACTGAAAGCACAGATTTTTCTGTACAATACATAAACTTTTCATCATTTAAATTTGTTTTAGTATCCTTATGGCAGGATTTCTTAAAGTTGAATAATTGGAGGATTTGAGGGAATCGATTGCCTCTTTTAAAATGTATCAATGATACAGAATAGCCAATACTTTACAATAACTATAAATGAAGTATAACCTTTAAAAATTGTGAATCACTATATTGTATACCTATAACTTATATGGTAAAGAAAAAATGTAATACAGAAATATAAAGCAATCCTTATATGTGAAGTTTTATGGGATAGGCAAATTCAATTGTTTTGTCTTTGAAGATTGAACCCCTCATATTGTACAATTTGTGTAACTGTGCCATTTATCAAAAATATTGCTAGGGCTTCCCTGGTGGCGCAGTGGTTGAGAGTCCGCCTGCCGATGCAGGGTACATGGGTTCGTGCCCCAGTCCGGGAAGATCCCACATGCCGCGGAGCGGCTGGGCCCGTGAGCCATGGCCGCTGAGCCTGCGCGTCCAGAGCCTGTGCTCTGCAATGGGAGAGACCACAACAGTGAGAGGCCCGCGTACCGAAAAAAGAAAAAAAAAAAAAGAAAAATATTGCTAATGCAGACCTTAGATGACTTTTTATGGATAGAGCTCTAGGGTAGCCAAACCAGCAACTTCAGGGGATTCTAAGGAAATTACTGCCTTAACAGAAATGAGGGAGAGACGAATGGAAGATAAAGGACTCAAGGCTGTTATTCATTTTGTAAACCTCTCTAAATGGCTGCAGTTTAGTTTCACGTATCTAAGCAGAAGAATAATAACAGAGGATGGAGACAGAGGCAGGCTGTCAGATAACTAACTGAAAGATGCTGCTGACCAGTCCAGAGGTCACGTACACCTGCAGCAGAAAGAAAGGAAGTCCAACCTGCCCTTGATCTCTGCCTGCACTCACTAGCCTGTTGCTTAAAGCTGGTATCTTGTCTGGGGAATATGTTACCTTTTTTTTTTTTTTTAACTTTCATTCTTTGGTCTGTGTCTCTGTGACTTGAGTCATAGTTTTTTCTCTGTCATAACTGGATTAGATCTTGGGGATCAGCGTAAGCCATTTTTCTTTTTGGTATTTGATTATTTATTGCTGAATAACAAGTCATCCTAAAACTTTGTGACTTGAAACAATAATAATCATTTCCTTTTTAATTAAAAAAATTTTTATCCAATTTTTAAAGGTTATACTCCATTTACAGTTTTACAAAATAATGCATCATTCCCCGTGTTGTACAATAATATATCCTTGTAGCCTCTCTTACACCCAGTAGTTGGTACCTCCCACTCCCTTAGCTTATTCTAGACCTATTGTAACTTTTTTTCCCCTTGTGGAAGAACTTGTCATGACTGGACTTTTTCAGTATTTGCAGTTGCCCATTAGGGGGCAGCAAATATAAAGGGAAGAAGTGACTGCAGAGCATCAGTGTTAGTGTTTTTGTATTCTTGTCTCTCCTGCAGGCCCCACTTCCATCTCTCTTACTCCCCTTTTCTTTGCTTTATGTCCATGTGCTCCTGATGGTGACAGAAGGCTCGAGGGAGAGCATAATTGTAATTACGTTTATGTTCTGTCACCACTCTATTTCTACTTACTTCCTGGTTGAAACAACACTTAGAATGTTTTGGTTACTCACCAATATAAAATACACATTTTAGGGACTTCCCTGGTGGCACAGTGGTTAAGAATCCGCCTGCCAATGCAGGGGACACGGGTTCGAGCCCTGGTTTGGGAAGGTCCCACATGTCGTGGAGCAGCTAAGCCCGTGCACCACAACTACTGAGCCTGCGCTCTAGAGCCCGTGAGCCACAACTACTGAAGCCCGCGTGCCTAGAGCCTGTGCTCTGCAACAAGAGAAGCCACTGCAATGAGAAGCCCGCGCACCACAATGAAGAGTAGCCCCTGCTCGCCACAACTGGAGAAAGCCCGCGTGCAGCAACAAAGACCCAATGCAGCCAAAAATAAGTAAATAAATGAATTTGTAAAAAAAGAAAAATACACATTTTAAAATCAACCAGAAAGGAAAGAACATTTTAACTTCACCAAGGTCCTATTTTTAAATTTTGTTTATATTAAAACTTACCCAGAAGTAGCAGCGTTTAAATACAGTTAACCACATAATTTATTTCTTATTCTCATGAAGCCTTTTGGGGAAACATCCAAGAATCTTTTCCTGCAAATGGAAAGGCTTCTGGCCTTTAAGTGCGAGGTATTATTTCTGAGAATTGGAGTATATGCACAGGTGATATTCTATGTCTCTTTTCATTTAATAGATACTGGTTTTATGTAGGTGCTAAGAGAACCATTCATTCCTTCCTCACATCCCCAGGTGCCTTGTAACATCTGTCTCTTCAGCTTTGTGGGTCTTGATTGTTTTGGAAAGTGCCATTGGCACTTGTTATTTGTTTTTCCTTTTCAGATAAATGCTATTTGATCATTGATTTTATTTAGCTGAGTTCAGAAATTCTGATAGTAATTTGTATTCTAAATTATTTTTTACGCCCTGAAGTGTTGAACTTTGAGATTTTGATCTTGTTTTCTATATTTGTTGTGATGATACTGACTTGCCCAAATGATTTCTTCTTTCTCTCTGTAGGCACCAGAATTTCCTGAGTTCACCACTAAAGTCCAAGAAGCTATCAATTCCCTGGGGGGCAGTGTATTTCCAAAGCTTAACTGGAGTGCCCCAAGGGTAGGAACACATCAGTAAATCTCTCACTGTATGAATATTATTTGTTTTGCTATTCCATTTCGCTTTATATCCTCACAGAGGGTCTGATTATATTCCTAATTCTAGGGAATTCCGTGGAATTTATTTTTATTTTCCCCCTGTTATTTTATTTTCCTGATTTTGCAGTACGCTTCCCTGGGTCTGTGAAATGCTATATATTTTGCCAATTGACAGTTTCAACCTCTTGTGTTGCTGATTGCGCTAGAAATCTGAGAAAAGCCTTTCTCTACCCTTTTCAAAACTTCACCTGCTCAGTTTGACAGAGAAATTTTTCTCTATTGAAAGGTAATAAAAATTAAAATGTCGTAGGATCTAGAAACAGCGGTTTGACAGATCACCTGACGTTTTCTTAAATTGTGTTTTATCATTTCAACATTTCATTGACAAGATTTTTAAGTTAAGGTCTGAAGCAAAATTTGTTATTTTTTCTACTCCAGTAGAAAACAATTTTATGTCAGCAAGGCTCATTTAAGGAATCAAGACTTACCTGCATTTTCAAAAAATCATCTCATGTGCTTATCTTTTCTTATTCTAACATGAATGATAAATTGTACTTAATCTAATTTTTGTTTTTACTTATTAAAATTAGTGACACATATACATAGTTTTTTTTACTAATTTTTATTGGAGTATAGTTGCTTTACAATGTTGTGTTAGCTTCTACTGCACAGCAAAATGAATCAGCCATACAAATACATATATCCCCCCCCTTTTGGATTCCCCTCCCATTCAGATCACCACAGGGCATTAGGTAGAGTTCCCTGTGCTGTATAGTATGTTCCCATCAGTTGTCTATTTTATACATAGTATCAATAGTATATATGTGTCAGTCCCAATCTCCCAATTCATCCCACCCCACCCGTTTCCCCCTTTCTCTACATCTGTGTCTCTATTTCTGCTTTGCAAATAAGGTCATCTATACCATTTTTCTAAATTCCACATATATGCATTAATATATGATATTTGTTTTTCTCTTTCTGACTTACTTCACTCTGTATGACACACTCTAGGTCCATCCACGTCTCTACAAATGACTCTATTTCATTCCTTTTTATGGCTGAGTAATATTCCATTGTATTACATATACATAGTTTAAATTTTCAGAAGATCTGGAAGGTTGCTACAGAAATCAGCCAGTTCTGACACCCGTTTTACTTCACTATTTCCCACTGCTCAGAGGCAGCTGTTTTCAAATATTTTAGTACCTTCTTCTGTTATTTTCCTCTACTTCTCTGTTCTTCTTAGATGTTTATTACTGACTTCCTGCTTTAGAACAGAAAAGTTCAGCTCTGTTTCATCTCCTGTCCCCACTACTTTATTTATTTATCTATCTACCTTATCTATTTATTTATTTTTGGTTGCATTGGGTCTTGGTTTCTGCTCGGGCTTTCTCTAGTTGCATTGAGTGGGGGCTACTCTCCGTTGTGGTGCATGGGCTTCTTATTTCAGTGGCTTCTCGTTGTGGAGCATGGGCTCTAGGTGCACAGGCTCAGTAGTTGTGGCTCGCAGGCTCTAGAGTGCAGGCTCAGTAGTTGTGGCGCATGGGCTTGGTTGCTCCACGGCATGTGGGATCTTCCCAGACCAGGGCTCGAACCCATGTCCCCTGCATTGGTAGGCGGATTCTTAACCACTGAGCCACCAGGGAAGCCCCGTCCCCACTGCTTTCTGTTCCACTGTCCTCATCATCAGAATGGCATACTTTGATTAGACCAGTATTCAGTGTTTCTCATATTATGTTTATGCAAACACTACGTACATATCTGATATATACCGTACATTGCTTGTGTTTTCTTATTCAACATTTTGTTTTCCCTGGAGTTAATAACTGTCTTGTTTATTCAGTTGCATGGTTTTCTATGTATATACTGTTGTTTTAGTGGAGTTAAATTTGTGTGTTCAGTATACCATCTTTAACCAGAAGTTCATCATCCTTTTTCATTTGGAGAAATTTTAAAGAAGTTATTATAAAGAAGTTATTGAAACTCATTTTTAGATTATCTATGAGCAGTAATTTGAGTTGTTCTTGACTACTGATCTGGCTTGAGGCTTTCTAGTTAAAATGGATAGATTATTTGTGATTTTAAGTTATTCCTTTGTTCATTTATTTTTTATTTATTGAGTGCCGACTGTGTTCCAGTGCTTTCTTTCATACCGTGTGGATAACTGGACATTTTTTTTGCAATCATTAGTTTTCTCAATTACTGTCCTGTGTCTGATCTGTCTATGGGAGATTATTCTATCATTTTTAGGCATATTTCGCTGAGGTTTGTGCCTCCTGTGTCTGCTCTTCTTACTTTTTTTTGGTACATATATTTGAGGCTTTCACCATTTAAAATTGTGATGGTTCAGAATATGTCACCTCCTCCCTCCCAGATTTGATAGACATGGGTCTTAACTGTTGCAGACATCCAACTTCAGGGTTCCAGCCGTCTCTCCCCAGAAACAGGAAGAAAGGAAGATTCTCTATTTTCTTAGTCGCTGGTCAGGCTGTTATTTTATGCCTGAATCTTCTAGCTGAAGTGTTACCATTTCCGACATCTCTTTATCCCCTTCTTTCATCATCAGTGAGGAAGACATAGGGCAGTGCTTGGGCCTGAGCTGAAAGGTGAGAACCTGAACATCTTGGTTCAAAACTGAGTATCCGACATGCAGTGGTGATGCTGTTCCTTGTTTAGAAGTGTAACTTGACATTTGACAGTATAGCTAAAATTTCTTACCTGACTTTTTTCTTCAACCCCTTCAGGTTATATGCATTGTTGATTTTGGCTATAGGCTTGAACTTCATTCATAGCAACTAACTTGGAATATATACTAAGTAGCATGTGCTCTATTATTTAGGATGCATACTGGATAGCAATGAATAGTTCTCTGAAATGTAAAACGCTCAGCGACATCTTCCTACTATTCAAGAGTTCTGATTTCATCACTCGTGACTTCACCCAACCGTAAGTATGTCTCTTGTTCTCTTATGTCAGTAGTTTCAGTACTTGTGAGTTTTTCTACAGATTAAATTCCATTAGTTCTAGTACTATTGTAAGCAACAGATCCACATACTAAGGCTGTTTCATTTTCTCAAATGACCTATTAAAGCAAACCTTTCTTTTCCATTGACAGCTAATGCTGTACAATGAATATCCCTAAATATCAAGGGCTTTCTGTGTATCTGCCCAGTAAATATAGTGGTAATTTTTTTCTTATTATAAAGCTAATATATGCTTATCATAGAAGAATAAAAGTGGGGACTATAGCTAAACAAGAACAGGAAATGTAAAAGCATTCATGGTCTCGCCACAGTTGGTTTTATGTACTTCCAGGATTCTGTCTGTGCATAGGTATAATATAGATACACCTGTCTCTAACTGTATTCCAGTTTTTTAAAACAAAAATGGGATCATATAGTTCATATTGCTTATGAGGCTGCTTTTGCACTTAATCAGTATATATCAAACATCTTTATGTGTCATTAAATATTAAACACATCATTATATTAAACTTGCTTCAGAGTATTCCACTGGACAGCTATAGCATCATTTATTTCATTAGTTCTCTCTTCGTATTTGTCTCTTTTCTCTTCTTAGTCCTGCAGTGAATATCTTGAGCTAAATCTTTGTGTGCTTTCCTGATTTTTTTCCTTAGGATAAATTCCTAGACATGGACTTGCTGTTTTCTTCCCTCTGCTAGTTACTCTGTAACTAATCCTTCATCGTAGGCAGACAGCCCACCTGCACTGCTGCACTGTAGGCGATCTCTTTATGCTTCTTTTGTTCTGTCATCAAACAGCAGTTATTCTTCTAGATTTCTTATCCTACCCCATTTTAAATCTGAAATCTCAATTAAACTAACCTTTAATCTGATCTCTAAAGTAAAGCATATCAAAAAATCTAGAAACTAAGCAGGTACACAGGTGAATACATACATACATCACGTATGCATGCCACTTCTTCCCCATCCATCCAGTTGTTTGCCCTGCTCATTCATCCCCTTTCAACCTCAAATCCTTTTTTTTTTTTTTTTTGCGGTACGCGGGCCTCTCACTGTTGTGGCCTCTCCCGTTGCGGAGCACAGGCTCCGGACGTGCAGGCTCAGTGGCCATGGCTCACGGGTCAAATCCTTTTTTGAAGAGGAGCCTGGCATAAAGAAAATACATTCTCTACAAGTCAGTTGTGCATCATCTCTTTTGCATCTGGTTCTGCAGCTTGGGCATATGGTTTTAGTATTAAATTAAGAAAACGAAGTTAAGTAATAATAAATGAGTGTGATTGTATTGCTAGTTTATTATAAAAGGACTTTACCAGTATTGGTTTTTCTGGTTCACTTACAGAAAAAGCTTTATGTTGTTCTGACATTTAGGTGTCAGCCTTTTATGGTTGTGTTGGCACAGGTGTTATGAGGTGTTTGCTTTAGTAATAATGCAGCAGCATTTTCGTTCTGGGAGACACCCTCTGATTAGAGGAGGTCGTGGCTCTCTCTTTTTTTTGCCATTGTAGAGCTTTTTGATATTGAATGCTTTTGTAAAGAGGCCTTGGAATATATTACATTAAAATACTCTGTACCTGTTCAATCATTTGATATGGATTTTTATGCACCTTTGATATTAGTTGCAGTGAGTATATAAGGACATTTCCTCTCCAAAAATTGTAAGTCACTTCTAATTCTCTGTGGTTGATGGCTTTTAAATCATCTTTGCACCCTAGCAACCTGCTGGCTCCTCTTAGCCCACCTCTCCTTTTTTGTCTTACATGAATTTAGCCTCTATTCCAGTGAAGGGTAGAAATACCAGTCAGTCATTTTGCGTTTTGTACTTTTTGACTTTTGCATGGGGAAGAAGTTAAATCAGCAAGTACATCTGAGGCCTTGGATTAGGAGTGTTTATCCACAGAATACCATCTTTCTCCTCATGTAAATAATTGGGAGTTGGCAGGATAAACACCAAGCCCTGAGCTTGCAGCCTTTCAGACCGGTGGTACTCACAGTCACCTTTTCTGGAAATCTTTGTCGGTAGTCAGTTGGGTAACAATAAGTCTTGTTACTCCAGAAAAATCCCTATTGATTGGGTCTTTAATGAAAGATGAACTTTTGTCACAGAGGCCTTTCTGGACCCCTTAAAGATTAAGAATACAATACTTTAAACTGGACAGGATCTTATCAGTGATTTAATTTGACTCTTCAGTCAGTTAGAAAATTGAGGCCTGAATCTGCTCAGTAATTTGTTCCCATCAACTAGTTAATAGAACCAAAACCAGAATATAATTTCAGTAACGTCATTCTAAATGTTCTTTGTATTTTCACTTAATAAAGTTATAAATTCCTTCTTTTCTAAATGCTTCAAAGTAAAATATTATAGAATGTAATAAAAGATAAAATATTATAGTATATAATTATGTACATAAAATTATGTAATATTATGACAATTATGTTATACTGTTTGGGAGCTTGCTTCAACAAGAGAAACAAGGATAGTTAGGATTACAGGTTAACAGAGGGCCAACCAAAAAGAGTTCACACACAGTGTTTTTAAAAATACATTATTTGGGCTTCCCTGTTTGCGCAGTGGTTGAGAGTCCGCCTGCCGATGCAGGGGACACAGGTTCGTGCCCTGGTCCGGGAAGATCCCATATGCCGTGGAGCGTCTGGGCCCGTGAGCCATGGCCGCTGAGCCTGCGCCTGCGGAGCCTGTGCTCTGCAACGGGAGAGGCCACAACAGTGAGAGGCCCGCGTACCACAAAAACAAACAAACAAAAACAAAACAAAACAAAAATACATTATTTAACAAGGAGTCTGGAGATGGGCTATTTCCATCTATAATGGTTAAGTCACAGCTCATCAGGGTCACCAGGGACCAGGTTCTTTCAGTCTTTCTCTCTGTCATCCTTGGCTTACTGGCTTGGTATTTGGGTTTATCACCTAATGGTTACAAGGTGGCTGGTATTTTTCAGGTATGGCATGAAGATGACTATATCTTATTCAAAAATATGAGGGGGTGCATCTAATTCCTCTCATTCTTCTCTGTCTGTGAGCAAGTAAAGCATTCTGGAAGCTTCCCAGGAGACTTCCTGATAGGCTAACGGTCACACAGTTACTCAGCCTCATCCAGTAGTTGGCAGAGGGAACAGAGATGCCATGATTGGTTTAGAGCAGAGGCTCTCCAACTTTAGCTCGGATTAGAGTCACCTGGAGAATTTGGTAAAACACGGCTTGCTGGTCCCCACCCCCAGAGTTTCTGATTCACTAGGCTGGGAGTGGGGCCCAAGAATATAATTTCTAACCTGTTCCCAGGTGACCCTGATGCTGCGGGTGCGCGCCCATGCCTTGAAGGCTGTGCGCTTAGATGTACATGTGCATCCCTGGGATTCCACAGGTCCACCTGTCCTCCTCTGAACAGTCACAGAATTTTGTTGCCAAGGATAAAGGTTGGGAATAGCTAGAGGGTAGACCACCAGTACTGTCTGCCACAGTTGTACTTTGACATGGACTAGTAAGTACTCTTATTCTTTCTGTTTGTCAAATGGTTATTGTACCCAAGAAGCTTTAAAAAGTGGAGGTTGAAATATTGACACCATTAGCATAATCTGTCTGCATTATACTTGCTGAGTGAATTATTTGCCCAGATAAACTTTCTATGTCATTAGACTTGTTGAGTCAGAAGGCTGCTTTCACTGATTATTTTACTGATTAGGTGTCACTTCAGTAGGCCAAGGCCAGAAAAAAAAATCTGGTATTCAATTGGCATTTAGAAGAAAGGGCTGAGTGAGAGAATTAATCCATTAATTGTTTCTCTGAGAGGCTCATGACTAAGGAAGTTAGAGTTACTAGAGATCAGGAAAGTTTACTTGTCTTAGTAATTCAAGCACAGTTATGATCAGCACAATTTTTATACGTTTTGTTCTTAAGATTATCACAAAACTGGTTATTAATCCTAAAATTCAGCAGCAAACAGTTTCAAAAGTAAAATGTTCTGGGCTTCCCTGGTGGCACAGTGGTTGAGAGTCCGCCTGCCGATGCAGGGGACGCGGGTTTGTGCCCCCGTCCGGGAGGATTCCACATGCTGCAGAGCGGCTGGGCCCGTGAGCCATGGCCGCTGAGCCTGCGCGTCCGGAGCCTGTGCTCCGCAGCGGGAGAGGCCACAACAGCGAGAGGCCCGCATACCGCAACAATGAGACATCACTTCATACCCATTAGGATGGAAAAAAAAAAAAAAAAAAAAAAAAGTAAAATGTTCTACCTAAGTTGGACCTAACAGAACCTATTCCTTGTGATTTTTATGGCCAATTTATTTAGGTGACAGTTTTTCACTTTAGATTGTTATAATTTTATTGTATTTTTTTTATTGAAGTGTAGCTGATTTACAATGTTTTGTTAGATTGTTATAATTTTAGAGAGCATATTTTCTCTCTTTTTGAAGAATTCTAAGAAAATTCTAATGAACTCACCCAATCACCCTTAATTCAGTATCATTTTTTATCTTTCCTTTTCCACCACCAGTGAGATGTAAAAAATGGAATCTGTGTACCAGAACTCTCATTTTAGATCCTAATGAGCATTAACATCTTCAGCACCAGAACTTTGATGCTAAATATTCCCTGGGTGCCATGTTTTTCTTTTTTATTTCTGCCCTTGACATAATTTTTTTTCCTTATATACTTAAGAGTTGTTTTCTGTGAGGTATAATACCGTAACCTTCCAGCGTTTTAGGAAAGCTTACGAATGAGGATGTGCCCTAGTAAATAGCTAGGCAGTAAAGAGTCTGCCACTTTAAAGCATTGTGATTTTGTGCACTGCCACCTTATAAAGCTTTAATGATGATGTTTTTTCTGATAGGAATGATCGAATTGTGATCTTAGTGTATTTAGGTGGTACCTAAGTTGTCTAGGGTCAGTTCACGTAGTTATTACTCTCTGAGTTTACTAATACTGTGATTTCTCTTTCCCCCATTCCTGCCACGTTG